CAGGTATGTGCGATATATTTTAGTTTTTTAATCAATCCGCGCAGATGGCGGGCAGTTGGAGGAATTAATTCCGTCGATCGGCCGACGCAATTAATCCATCCATCTGGTTTCGGGTAAAAAAGCGAATTGAATCGGAGTGCGCGGGGGCGGCATCGGCACCCATCGGCCTCTGCCTCTCTGCCTAATGCCGCCACAGCAGCCGGAACGAAACAAGCGGCGTTCGGGCCTAATCCCTCTTATCCCGAAAGTAATTTTGAGTCTTTTGAAACCTGCCCCCCGGATGAAGTGAAACCCGAGCGTATCTCGCACCAGGCAGCCGTCACCCCCGATCCGGGAAAAAGGAATTTTCCCGCTGCCTGAAATGAAATGCTGTTCGCATTTTTGCCTCCTAAGACCTTTATCACTGCCTGGGCTGACAGATAATTATAAAGGGATTTTCTCGGCCGGCACTGCTGCGCAGGCTCCCGTCCGGTGCCCGACTCGACCAGTCTTAGATTCTCTCCCAACATGTTTGGTGACAAAGGTAATCTTCCAAGCGGCCCCACTTAGCCCTGTAAACACACTCGACTAGATTGGAAGTGCATGTAGCCCTTAGAATAAACAGCACTTTATCAATTAGCGACAGCAGCGTCCAGCCGGGCCGGGGGTGGTTCGCTCGTTATTCTCCTGTCGGACGTTTTAAGGGGGCGCAGCCGCCCTCCCCCCACATGCACTGGAAAATTTCCCTAGACCGCCGCCACCACCACCACCTCCACCGATATATCAATCTCTCGGCTGGCGGCGAAAAGTAATCCTTTTGGCAAGACGAGGGTCCAACTTCTTGCCGTAACTAATGATACTTTTTAGTGAAGGATGGCGCGACAATGATACCGACTCCTGACTCCTTTCTTCCATTACGCAACGTCCCGCTTCCATACATTCACTTCCAGGGGGTCGATTGAGTGGTGCCCCCCTTCCTGTTCAGTCACCCAGTATTTTTATCGCACCAAAAGTATGTTTGTTTCAGTGGTCCAGCAGTCCAAAAGCSCCTYAACACTCTTCTTCTCCTCCTCCTGCTCAATTACTCAGGTGAGCGCAAAGTTAGCTTCTCTTCTTTTAGGTTTCCATCCTCTTTCAAGACTCGCTGAGGGTTCAAACGTGAAGGTTGCACAGTTGGGGACTGGAGCAGGACGCCGCTAAATAGTAAACCCTCATTTTCCAACTGTCATCTGGATGGTATCGAGTTTACGAGGAAAAGTATCTTTGTTTCAGTGCACCGCCAAGAGGCTGAGKACCTTCATACKTCTCRGGAACATTTCTCAGGTGAGTGCAAACGCTTCTCTTCTCTTCCGCTCCGAGCCTCCCTGAACAATCGGTGAGGGTTCGGACGTGAGGGCAGCAGTTTGGGGTACTGGAAGGGTTTTTTCACTTGCCTCGAGACACAATGGAAAAAACCCTTTTAGCTGCGTCCCTAATTAGTAAACCCTTATTTCCTAACCCTCATTTTGATGCTACACCGAGGACGTTGCTTAGAGTTGATTTCAGCACTCCTCGTCTCGGTAGCATCGAGTTAGTTGAGGGAGTTGAGGAGTTGGACTTCGCATTGGGAGGGGAGCCTCGGAGGTCTCTCGGACTCTTCGACTCTCCGGAGGAGTTGAGGTGGAGGTCGGTTCCGCAGGGGAGACTTTTCGACTCTCCGTAAAGAGGAGTTGAGGAGTTTGAAAGAGGAGTTGAGGAGTTTGACTTCGCCTTGTCAGGGGAGCCTCTTCGAGTCTCGCGGTAGCGTCAATTCAGCCCCAGATGGACCATCCGCCCAATTTTTCAGACCTGTGATTTTGTGCTAAATATCGGTCAACGTATATACGTTGAAACGTTTTTTGTCGTTTATTGAAATAAAACTCATTTGCTTAAAACGGTTTTTTATTTCTTCCAAAAAAATACAAATCCCAAAAACTTCCGCGTGTTCACTGTGGTTGATTACGTCACGAACAGACCGTCCCCTCCAGGTGTGGCAAATTCCTCCTACCTTAAAGGAGAAAACGGCCCCCATCTCGGTCCGAACTTGAGGCAAAAATGCCTCGTGTTCTCCCCCCACTAAAGCTCTGGATGAGGACGAGTTTGGGCTGTGGATATTGAAATGGTTCAGGGTTCTTCCAATTCCACGCGCCCTCACCCTGGTCCACGTCCAGACCGGCTGGAAGTTAAAATTCCCCGAAGAATTTACCTCCATCAAATACCATGGAGAAGAGGTTCTCGGCAAAAATGTGGCCGTGCTCCTCGCCTTGAGGACGAGTTTGAGCTGTGGAAATGGAAAATGCTCTGAGCTCTTTCCACTTCCACGCGCCCTCACTCTGGTCCACGTCCAGAGCAGCTGGGAACTAAAACTCTCCCGAATTGAACGGCGAAAGCAAAAAATTGCCAGGATCCAAGAACCTCAGCCCATTTTCTTAATGAATCGGCTACTATTCGCAGCGGAACCCTAAATGTGCAAGTAGCCTATTCAAGACAAATATTACGCACCTCGTAAAACTCTCCAATTTGCCGTGATGATTGCGGATCTGCGGGCGAAACGTTGGCTTCGTATGGACAAAGGTGTCCACTTCATGACTAGAAAAGGAAAACATATTTGAAACAACCTAGAAAGCAACAGGCGATGAAAGAAACTAGCGAAAAATACACTAGACTGGCAACAGGGGCAGATTCTCAATAAGAGGGCTTTTGGTACAGATTCCTGCTGTTGGATGATAATTCCCATAAAATGTGATGAATTAGCCGATGCCCGGATATAAATCGGGGGATTTTTATTACATAGGCTTTTTTTTGGTCGGGAATCGAAATATGCGGGATACACGTCAAATTTACGGGGTCGAGATGTGCGCCATCGTTAATCAACAAAGAAATCGGAGAATTTCCTATTGTGAGAATGAGCGAGAGTCCGAGTTGTCACAGAGCGCACCACCGGTGGGTCAATTAGAACATAATAAATGGTAAAAAGGAAGTAGCGTTTTAACGAAACTCCGAATTATTACTTACGATTAGTGGGGGCCTTTGTGTTCGATCGCGCGACAAAAGAACCGGAAAAAGGCCGGTGTCACTATTTATCTATTTACATTACAATGGGCCGCAAATTGCCGCCCATTGGAGTTGCCCATATTGCTTTCCCATCTCGAATTGAGGCCGGATAAATGAGCGGAATTTCGGCTAAACGTTCGTTGGGCAAAAGGAGGCGAACAACCATTAGGCGGCTCTGATAATCGGCGGACATTTTTCACCGTTAACGGCCATTAGAAGCGAAAGAAATAAGCTCATTACCATCCCTCGCGCGCCTGATACTTCCAGTCCATTTCTCGGGCTGATATGCTGGTGCTGCTGCTGCTGCTGCTGCTGCTGCCGCTTCCATCCATCCATCCATCCATCGGGACCGCCATTATTAATTTATCTTTTACAACTACCGAAATTAATTTTCGGAGTCACATCCATAACGCGATGACGTGAATGCAGGTCCAATAAATTATGCAGCCGCGGCCGCTTATTACGCTTATATACGCCGCACTGACTGGATCAATCATTAACGCGTTTGTACGTCTCTGTTGACGGGCAGCGGCGGCCATCGCTCTCTCACAGCCTTCGCTGGATTTATGCTGATGGGAACAGATTAGCTTGGCTCCGCGTTTGATTTATTATTTCGTCTCTCCTCGCATTTTTTCTCCCAACTAAACGCGCATCGTTCGCCTACTTTGCAACCTTTGTGTCTCCAGCCCAACAGTCGCAAGAAATCGACACCCTGGCCCACACCTGGCAACCATGCGTTTCTATACAGCGTGTCCGCAAAGTCAACAGTCCGGAAGTTCAAAATGCTAGCTTTTTTTACCGCAAATACGCAACAAATCAACATTCTCCACATTCTGACTCCACAACCAGAAATTTGTCCGCACTGTTGCTCAGTTCTGCCTTAGGCAATCGTTTGTTTACTCCTAAATGCATGTCTGTGTTCTGAATGCATTTTTCAATGGATGCAACACAAAAACTTGTTGGACGGATTTCGAATTAAAAAGGTTCCATAATTGAAACAGAATATTCGAGTGTTTTCAAAGAAGAATAAAGCCAGTGATGTGAGCATCACTTGCTTTATTAGCCGTTTGGAAACACTCGAATATTCTGGTTCAATTATGGAACATTCTCAATTCGAAATCCGTCCAATAAGTTTTCGTATTGCGACCAAAAGCGACAACTTTGTCCATTAACGAAGCCATAAAGATGAAAACGGACCTCGTCATTAAAGATGATTTTCGTTGAAAAATCACCGTCCAATTGTCGTTGTTCCAAAATCCAATCAACAAAGGCTCTTCGTTGCCCATGGCCTGCCGGCTTTAGCTCTTGATCCAATTCAACTTTGTACGCATGAAAATTCCAGTCTTTTGCTAAAATTCGATGCATAGTGGTTGTGGAAACACGAATTTCCTGAGATCTATGCCGAATTGATGTGGTTGGGCTTTCCTCAACAATTGCACGTACTGATGCAATATTAGCCGTCGAGCCACCAGGACGAACGCGTGTTTCTGTTTCCACTTCATTAACAGACCCAGTTTGCAGAAATTTCTTCATTAAGCAGCGAGAGATTTTATTTCTGTTTGAATCGTTAGTTAGTGTGGTTTTGCAAGAATTTATTGCTTCAGATAAAAGTTCTACGGGCTGGCAAAGGAAACAATGCAAAACGGGTGAAAGTTCCACATGCCCTCACATGGACAAAAAACGTGTTTTTTCTCATTCTAACATCATACGCCTAAAGATACACCTGATAACTCGAAAAATGTTAATTAATTTTTTGCCCATCTCGTTTATTTACAGAGTGCGTTACAGTCTTGCGGAGATAATCTTGAAGTTAAAACATCACACCTCACAGTCGACTTGTTGATGAAAAAAATTCAATACAGCGCATACCGGGTTGCAATAATGAACGAAATATTTGAAATTAAACTTCACTTAGTTGAAAATATTCGAGAATCACAGATTTCGGGAGTTATTCAGATTTGAGCCTTTTGTCATGCAACCCCGTATTACGAATGTCTCTGAAGATGCCGCTACAAACTACAAAAAGTGTTTTATCTCAAAAGCCGTAAGAGATATCGAGAAAAACAAGCTAAGTATACCCGTTTCGAAGAAAAAAAATGGGTCTACCTCACTGCTTGATCATATCCCCAAATTTGGCAACGCCGGTAAATTTGTACGCATAATAAAAGTTAATTTTGACCGTACCTGGGCAATGACAAGATTTCGGATAAATTTCCAACTCAGAATAACAAGTATCTATGAGCTTCTTTTGTTACAAAAATTTCACGAACGCAAAATAAACGGTGTAACAATTAAGAATAAGTTTCTTTTTTAAACTTTTCACTTTGAAAACCCGTCATTCCATAAGGAAGCCAGATCCGAAATTTTTGTACCTCTGTACGCCCTATCATTGTTGTCCAACAACTTCGGGACACCCTGTATCAGTTATCAGTACAAGACCAAAAAGTTGATTTTTTTGAGATCACCCTGTACATAAAAGAGATGGACGAAAAAGTCAAAAACGGTTTCGAGCTATTTGGTTTGTCTTTAAGCTTTTGGTGTTGAGATCCAAAAAACTGGATTTTTGTCCAACCAGAAGCATGTCGGACTTAGAAAAATTTTGTATGCCTTCATTGGCAGCCCTGCAGAAAATCTGTCGAAGATTCTTGATTTATTTTAAAACACTGACTACCAAAAAAAAGCAAATGGGACTCAATAACGCATTAAAGAGAAACCACATGGCGTAAAGTAATCAGAATTTCTGCAGTTCCAAAGTTAACGCAAATTTAGCTGCGCAGCATTCATTTCTGCATAAAGTATTCACTTTCACATCAGACAATCTTGCCGGAAACGCAATATTTTTTGCCTCGAGAGCCTGTGAATTTTGTCACATCAATTGAGCCAATCACCCCATATAAAATTATAAAAGCGCAATAGGTTTTGTATAAACTAACTATCGGATAGCGAAACCACAGAAGGGAAAAGAACTGAATGATTTAGAAATCGCCTACGTTTTGGTGCCAACAAGTGCACAATTGCAAAAACGCATTGCCTTTGGTTTTTGCCTTTGATTTGGCCTTTGGCTCTAAAAGTAGACCAACTTTTCCCCCACTTTGAAAAGTTAGTCTCGGATTTCCATGTTGGTTTTTCGGGCAGGAGAGGCAGGCAGGCAGGCTGTTGATGATTTATGATGGGCGCAAAATGACAAATTGACAAAGTTTCGGCAACGATCGCACAAAGACAACACTTTGACGAGCTGGCGGCTTCTTGCGCAGCGGCCCCCATTCCGCCGAAAGCGCGTAAATAATCCCCCGGCATCTGGAAAAACCAAAAACCCTCTCGCAACGTCGAGGCAAAAATGGCTGTGAAGCTGAGTGTACGCGAGCGGGCGCCCTTTTAGGGCCGTTGCCGATCAACGGCAACAGGGGGACGCAAGTTGGCCAACTTTTACCGCAGACTGTATTCTTTTGTTCTAGGCAGTGATTGGTCGGCATTTAGGTCGCGAGGGTTGGTTGGCCCTAAACGGTCGCACACTCCCCATTTGCTTGCGCCCGACTCGGCCACATCTTCAAGGCCGGCTGGATATTTTTCGAAAAAATCCTCCCGAACAATCGACAATCGATTCGACATGGGCCCCGTATCAAAGTGGCGACAATTATTTTGCGACCATGACAACTCCGCCAGCTCGCAGAGGGATTAATTAACCCTTCGCCGCGCTCTGGATGATGGTTATTAAAAGTTACACGCAAATGAATATGACTCATTGAACTGTTCCTCAAGTGGGCTTCGAATGGATGGGGGAGCCGGGGAAGCGCCCCTCAATCGCAGTCCATCGGACACTAACGGCCGTCCTAAAGACCGG